GTAATGAGTTGTATGTTTGTTCAGTGACGGATTTCCCCAAGCAATGTAAAGGGCTTCATAAGATATATTTATTGATAACAATTATTTTTGAATATTTAAGTTTTTCTTTACTTTTGACACCATGACCATAGTTTTTTTTTTTTTTTTTTTTGTTATTAATGACAAGTATTTGGAGAAGTACTGAGTTCGGTACGATAACACGTCAGGTAGAGTAAATAATCACTTCTATGATATTTTTTGAGAAAATCTCGCATCATAATAGCACTTGTAGTGGTTTTCATCTGGCTAAATAACCTGGGCGTCGTGGGTTCGATTCCCACCCGAACCATTTTTTCTTCACCTTCGCTCCCCCATCAGCACCCACACGCTTCGCCTTCGCGTCCCATCCCCATCAGTCCCCTCATTTAAAGATATCTAGATACGCCACTGGCTTACATGGTCAGATGAATGAAAATACTCAAATCGATGTACTTTGCCACCAAATTGTAACCAGCATTCACCATGCCCTCACGATGTCACCGGGGACGCTACTGCCAAACAACTATTTTTTGGCAGCGAAGGGACCTTACCAATAAACAATCAACAAACTACCGGGTTTCTGGGTTGATTTGCAAGGTACTACATGGCTCAACTATTTTTTACTTAGGGGTTAATTGTTAAAAATCGCTCACAAATCATACGACGCCACTACCGTGCCGGGGACGGCAACTAGATTTTGAGATTAATTTTCCGAATAAAGTTATACTAAATAACTTCTAATGACGAACTATTGTCCTCAATTGTCTGTGTTGGTCATTCAACTGTCATTTTATCAATTCTTTTCGGTGATATTACCATTCTCAATAATCTATAAAGCACCCAAATAACAACGTCACGTTAGATCGATCGGTGGGGACGCCGTGGTGACGCCGGTAGGGTCAATTTTCGTCGGAAGGTATCAAGATGATAAACAGTTTCATTGGACTAAATTTTTGCTTATGTTAACCACATCATAGTTACTAACCTTTGAAATGCGTGAGTGACTATAGCAGTTGGCTGGAGAGGGGGGTCCAAGCGGCAGGGGAACCACCCCCTCCCGTCGCTCCGAGCATTTGTAAGCTGTTTTAGGGAGTGTTAGTTGATAATACAGGTACATAAGCAAAAATAGTATTAAAAAAGCCTATTTGAATTTCAATGTAGGCCTATGTTTAATTTGAGCACCCAAACTATGTAGACCTATACACAAACATTTCATTACTGATCATTTTTTAGTAACTCTTTAGTGAAATAAGTAGGGCCTTCAAAGAAATACTGTACTCTCTCATGACTTAAGTTACTGCATCACCGTTTTTATAGTATTAATACAAGCAATTTCTTCTAATTTTAAATACATTTTCCCCTGAATTTGTGATAAATCGTTATCACTCATATATACTTGTGTTAAATGCGTGACAAATTTAGGATCACGCATGTGTTTTCGCAAAATGCGTGTTTCATCCAAAATCACTTTGAAATGTGGAACCGTCCCGCACGATGTGAGACGGTTGTTAACTGACATTGATACTGGTTTCAAATTAATTATAGTGTATTACGGTAGTTTGGTGTTGTTTTAACGATTAGTTTGCTGAAAGAATAAGCATGGAAAATCTTTCTTCGGTGGTATCACAAAACCTGTGAACATCTTTATTTCTTTTATTGCTTTTAGGACGGACGCACCAGAGGATGAAACAGACGGTAGGTTGTATACCTCCTTATATTTTTAAAACTTTCAATCATTTATCCAATGTTGATTCAGTAAACTGACTAATAAAAATTCCACCCATCGATGTAGACAATTTTAGTACTTTTCCTTTCTATCGTGTTCCTTTATTTAAATAATTATTCTTTCATTTGTTTTCTCTTCAGCTTGTTTGTATTCTTAATTATTTCTTCGTTTAGCCTGTTGAACATTAGCGTGTATGATGTGTGTCTTTATAATGTCCACAATTTCAATTTAAAATGTTTATAAGTTTATGGACTTAACAACTCATAACGAATATTATTGGTGTTCGACTAAACCTAACTCTTTAATAAATGTTTACGTTGTATATTTGTTAATTAAAAGTGGCTTTAAATTAAAAATCATAACAAAAAGTATACGGTACTAATTAATGCACACTTAATACTATTCCTATTTTTACGTAGACCCTTATCCCTAAATTAGCTAACAGGCAGTTTAATGATTTTAGTAAATCGAATAAATTGGCCTTTTTGTTTTATTCGAGCATGTTTTTTCTTTCAGTTTTTAAAATATTTGATAGGTTTCTCGTGTTTCTTCAACACAAACAATATTATCAAGAAAAGCCTTTAGTTTGCCATATTTTACTTGAACTGTCTGTTTTCTTTCCAGTTAACCACTGTTCAATGCCATCGGCACCAACACACGGAAGCGCCGCTTGTACACTTCTTTCGTCTAAAACGTATGTATAACATACAAATACTGGCTTTGTAAAATTATAAACGGGCCTATTTTGTCGAAATGTTTCAATTCAACATAGTTACAGTATGTAAATAGGTCCTATGTCTTTAAACTATATTTTTTAATGAAGCTTGCATCGCATCAAGTGATAGTACAACTCCACAGTGTCATATAAGTCTATGCAATAACACTAAAATTTGTAAGATAGTAAATATATTACATACGCCAAGTACCGAAATTCTGTGTGTGTGTGTGTGTGTGGGTGTGTGTGTGTGTGTGTGTATACTTGCTTATATTTCACATCTATGAAAAGTAGTTGAATGGTTTTTCTTCTCTCTGTTAGCATATGTAATGCGACTTGTTTCAGTGGATATGAATTTCCAGATGGCGTAAAAAATATCAACAACACTTGTGAATACGATAAGGGTGTTTGGTCACCGTACCACCAACTACCAGACTGCGAACGTGAGTCATGGGTTAATTTTTTTGCTCGGATTGTTGCTCCTCCCTTATCGTGTTTTTTGTACGGAACACTTTCCTAATTTGGATCTTCTATAAAAAGAAAAAACAAAACAAAACAAAAACAAAAACAAAAATAAAAACACGTATAGTAAATATGTTCCTTTAAGTAGAGCATAAATCCTAAGTAACAGGATAAGCCTCAGTGTTCATTTTTTTAAAACATATAACATCAAGATTCCATATCAATTAGCCATGCAGAAAAGGTTTTATCTATAACTTGGTTCTTACAAAAGTGCCGTCCTGCCATTATGCAGTCCTGCAATGTTGAGCTATAGATTCCAATATTCTTGACACACGAATTCAAAATAGAGAGGTTCCTGGAAAGGACTTTCAAAGATAGGGGGTTAATATCACCTCAGCCCCACCATTATTGGGGCTGAGTTAAGCATTTATGACTAAGGCACCTCTAGATGGCCGGAAATGGAACTTTCAGACTTCAGATAATTTTCTTTTTCTCCTTTAAAAAATAATCGGCTCTCCCACCCTCTGAATCCGCCACTGCAATCTGTCGAAACCAGTGGCGGACCAACTTTCATTTTTTTTTTCAATGTCAGCCTCACCCATTTACTTTTATAGGCGACTCACGGTATATGCACCTCAGGTTATCCTACTTACCACAAAACATTTTATGAGCTCAAAAAAAGTCCACTCATAGGACCTATACCGTTGTGGCCAGCTGGGGGCAGGAAGGGAAATTCCCCATGAACCCCACCTAGAATTAATTATTCCGAGTCTCAGACCGAGGCTCTAGTCCACCACTTGGTTCGGACCCCACACCCTCGAAGGACATGTCAGACCCATTTTCGGCAAATTTCTGAAGCCACTAATTAATTAAATACAATGCCAGTGCCATAAATTCCCCTACGAGTCAAGTCGGATACCCCAAAAATGGCCCGCGTTTACTCAGCCCCGCCATGACTACGGCTGAAGTGTGAAATAAAACTCCCAAGTTCCAGGAAATGGCACTTTTAGACTGTAATATTCATACGTTTTGAAAGCAGTGTTTTTAACAGAATGACAGCCTCCAATCCTATTCCCCGGATCCGCCGCTGGAGCCGTCAAGGTTAATGGTAATCGCATTATAATCAGCACCACTCCCTCCCAACAACAACACTTAATCCTTTATCTGCCATTTATTTTTTAAATTTTGTTATTAAACTTCATTTAACGAGAGTAATTCTGTAACAGTGCTGACTTACATGAGCTGTATATATTTTTTTTAAATATGGCTGGGGCGGGTAATAAAGGCAGAAAAGACTGTGTTTAATTATTAAACACTACGGTATCAAAAATTGTGTGACTATTTAACCAGATAATCAACTTTTACTTTGCACACATTCTAAATTTCAATATTTGAGTGCAACGTCCCTCGCCTAATGCTGTACATTAATCAATCTTATATTTTAAAAAGTATTTCAACATTAAAAATAGACTATTAACACTGTAAACAAATCAGGGACGAACAAAATAGGCGTACATTTTGTGACAAACATGTAGTGTGATAGCCAAGGACACGGAAATAGGCACACTGCACTGTAAAAAAAAGTCTCTGTAAATTAACAGCAAAGGTGCTGGCAAATGCATCGCCAGGACTTTTCTGTTTCTTTTACATAACATCATATGTTGTGTTTTCTGTTTACCTAATTTCTGTAAAGGTATTTTACATAGATACCTTAAAAATACTAAGATGTCTTTTTTAAGGTTTATTCTATGATGAATTACAACACTTACCTGTAAATTCACAACAAAGAAATTTTCTATTTTTCACATAACATCACATGTTGTGTTTTTATTTACATACATTATTTATGTAAAATTTACATTTATTATGTAAAAGTCAAATAACAGGTATTCTGTCATCAGCTTTTACAGCATGGTTAAATAAATATGAATTTACATTTTTACTATTAAGTGTTGAAGATAGAATATGATGCTTGTGTCAAATTACTAAACGAATAAAATACAAAGACGTTCTACAGCTATTTTCATATATTTATTGTATCAACAATAAATCCACAAATGTAACCCAAACATGTAGCCACATTCTTTAAACTTTCTTCTCATCAATACAGTACAATTCACTTTAGTTTCAATCAATGCACTGGAATGTCTGTTATCGTCGTCTATTCAGTTTGCAACAAATAATGTACGGTAATCATTTTTCCAATTTAACACTACATAAACTGTTAACTCTGTTTAAAAATGGCCAATAATTCCTTGCCATCAAAATGGCTTGCAATACAGTATTTATTTTAATAAATACCCCATCTAGAAGAACACAATTGTCATTACACTCCACTTCTGAAAAATAAAAAATACCTCAGGGCATGACATCTATTCATTGAGTTTAAAGATTTTTAGTTTACTACCGCATAAAGGTTTGCATGGTGAAATAACAATTTTAAATGCTTGCAGTGCACGATGTAGATGGTTTTGAGAAGAATCATTGTGCTGATGGGAATATCTCAATGTTTTCCTGACGAGTAAAAAAAAATCTATTTTTGAATGTTGAAATACTGCATGATGTACTGCAAACACTTAACATTATTATATCACTTACCAAGCGCTATTATACAAGGGGTGACTAGAAGGGTATCCTTATTGAATATCAGCTTCTGGCTTGTCTCCTAAATGAAGTACATGAGCTCATTTGTTTGTCAATGTACAGGTGTACAGAAGTTAATGTCACTGCTCTACAAAAAATGGAACTACTAGATGGATGTTGATAAATTATATTAATATTCAATAATAAACTAGGGGATTATGGACACTCAGACCCTTCCAATCACAAACACAAAGTAACCCACGAAGCAAATATTATGGATGAAATAACTATAATACAAATCGGACAATGATATAATATACACCGCAATAATAGACAAGTCATCGCAAAAGTAAATCAACAGGAGAAATAACTGTCATAATAAAATTTCATTTTGCTTTGTACTGTAGCAATATTTTAAAAGTTTACTTAAGCAATAATATATCATAGTTTACCTTAAAAGGTTCGGCTGATTGTTCAGCCTTGCCCCAATAAAAAAAAAATGAATACAACCATTACGGTACATATAAATATAGGCCTATGCCTATGTGGTGAAGGAAAGAAGATATTGAACGATCGTTCAGATTATGCTTTTTTAAGAAACAATTGAAATAGAAAATTACTTATTAGCCAATTTTGATTTTGAAGGTATTGCACTTAATTTTAAGTTTCGCTCTAACACTATCACATTGAACAGCTGAGTATATCTAGAATATTGGTGTTGTATCATCTCTCAGGGTTCAGTTGGAACGGAAATCCTATCGCCAAAAAAAGTAGGCATAATATCACGAACTAGAGGGCGCACCCTATCGGACCTCTTTAGAGTATAATACCAGAACAGCGACACTGTAGACTTCTTACTACTCTTTGGTTGCACTGTAGTATGTACCGTCTACAATCGGGAATCGACTGTCAACTCCCTGAATCATCGAGGAACCATGCAAGTATTGTGATGTCGTGTTTGAATAATATTTTTCATCATCACTGGGGTGGTGGGCGCGTTATTGGCAATATCGTTCATTCACCCCACTAGGTACGACGGCCAATGCAATTGATGGATTGCCAAGGCAATTGACGGCCAAGGCAATTGATACCCGGATACCAACAATATGATGATCGAATCACTGGCCAATAAGAAACTGGAAATTGTAAAGGTGTACGTGTGATTGGTTGATGATAGAATAGCGCTTGCTAACCGTTAGCGTATCCGGATACCGCTAACGGTTAGCGCTAACCAATCGGGCGTTCTCACGCAGGTGCTAACGGTTAGCTCCCGATTCGGATACTAGGGCTCTCGTGAGAACCATGCTTTTGATTTGTGCGACGACGCAAGGCTAGAACGGAACCACTCATGCGTGACCATCCTACATGGCATCCTACGTTCTCTACATACATAGATTTGACCAAATTGCGTTCCAGAATCTACGTGTATTCAGAGAACGTAGGACGCAAGGCAGGACGGTCACGCATGAGTGATTACATTCTAGCGTCGCGTCGTCACACAAATCAAAAGCTCCCTATTGGTTGCGCGTACCAGCATATACCATTCATACCAAACAGATATTTTGCGGTAATATTGTATGAATGGAACCCGCAGACTGAGAAAGCCATGCTTAATCTTTTTAGTAAGGAATTTGATATATTTACGTGACCGTTATCACATACTCAGGGCATCCCTTATTGTTATTGTTTTTAGGACATTGCGTTAAATGCAAATATCTTAATGGTAAAGGGGGATGTAAGTGATTTCCTGATGTTATTCTACCTTTTGTATGTGTTTGTGTTTGTTTTTTCAGGACTTTAGTTGCAGCTGATTACTTGCTTTTTATTTCAAATTATTCCAACCTCTAAATGAATGGTAGACCAGGGAGTTGTTATAATAACAGCTCCCTGGGTAGACCAGACCTAATTGTGCCATCAAATGGATCTCCTCTTCTGCTTTCTAACTTCTGCATCTGTCCAGATAGCTATCATCGTTTCGACTTATATAATACATTAGAAAGGCAATACATTTCGTTTCCCCTTGTTTGACAAACTTTTTTTTTTTAAATCGTCAGAGGTCAGATAAAAATAGGACTATAGGGCCGAAATCTATTTCTGTTATCTTATTAGGCAAAATAATTTTTCAAAAAAATTTAGGAGGAGAAAATAAAAACAAAACATTAATGATGAATGTACTGCTAGGTCAGGTCAGACAGTTTATAGGCTAAATAAAGGGAAAAAAATTTCTTTTGGTGATTTCAGGTTGAGCGGAGGTTGCAAAAAAAAAAAAATTAAAGCATGATTTTTTTTTAAATGTACATCCTCGTAGCACATATGTATTAACTGACAAAAAAATAATCATGATTTTGAATAAAAAGAACATTTTATTTTTGTCCAGTTAGCACACCATCTGTGCTGTGAAAAATGGAAATTACTTTTTAAAAAATAAATTTTTAATTTATATTAAATTACATCCTCTGCTCACCTGAAATCTCCAAAATAAAAATAGGTCAATTTCCTTCCTTTAGTATAGGCCAGGGGCTAATACAATTAGATGTTGCCCATAGTGGGACAAAAGGCCCAAACGAGGTGCAAAGTAAATATTTCATCTGTATAAACAATCGGAATCAACGCATTTTCACAAATAAATACAGTGCTATAATAGGTAAGAAACATTATTTTAACTATTTTCTATTAATAACTTCTTTCTTTTATAAAATATTGACTGATATTCTGAATTCCTTATGAAGATATTTTTGGATCACATAAGGTGTTGATTTGATGTTGAATATATGAAACATGATTGATTTGGCACCTTGACCTTTGATGATTAGTGCCTAAAATTTACTACAAACATTATAATAATAATGAGCGTTAGCATTATTATATCATTTTCGGTACCAATTTGAGCCGCTCCAAGTATCTTTCCTATTCTTCCTTAATTTTATTCCTTTATATTATACTTAATGCATTTCAATCAGCTGAATTTAGCTGGTCTCATGCCAGTTAGACCACTTTAGGCCTTCTACAAATGGACGCCTTGTTTTGGAGCAGGAAATCAAATTGTCCCTCACCAGTTGCCTGATTATAAATCGACGGGAAATCTACTGATAGCTATAATTATTAGCATAATGGCCAAACATAATACCGTAAAACTTGTAACGTATGGTAGACCCTAGCTGTCTAGCCTATGATAATATTATTAATAACAATATTAAAAGTATAGGTATGAGCGTACTAGCGTCAACTCGGCCGTAAAGGATACAAGTTAAATCACGAATACAATTGTTATAATGAAATTGAATGCGTTTTACAAGTTTTCTTTTCTTAATATTATATAAACTTTTTTGACAACATGAAATCAAGGGTGTTGCCTGGGCAACTAGGGCCACTCCACCACTGTAGACCTATATAAATGTTCTCAAAAATTTACTTGTTCCGGAATGTAGGTGCAGTACATCACTTGACATCCTCAGTTATTTTTTTTTGCTCAAAAGTTATTTTCAAACTTTAATAAGTGTGTTATAAGTTTTATTGCATCATTATCATTACATTATGTACTCATACTAAAAGTAGAATAACGTCAAGGAAATTTACTAGCCTAATAACATTATGATATTATTTAGATCTTAGGGCAATTTTCTAGAAACAATAACAATAAAGGATGCCCTCAGTCTGATGAGTAAAAGGATTAATCAATGGCCCCTCCCAGCATGCGGGTACCATTCATACAGAAAGGCGTTATATTACCGCAATATTTGGTTGGTTTGAATTAAAACTATAATTGTTAGTCTGAAAAGTACTGCCAGTATTTTTACCAATTGTTGCTAACACACTACCCTCTATTTCATGGAAAAATGGAAAATTCTTATTTGTCACAAGGTTATTCTAAAGTAATCTTCCACGTTTAATTGACACCAGCCTGAGGAGTTTATATGATGATTTTAAAAAAAATGTAAAAAAATTAATTTCAGTGCATTTTTTTTGCCGAAAAATGGGGCTTTAAATGGTATGAGATGAACCCTTTTTTTTTGCGTCAAGAGGTACCCACTTGTGGCCCATGATTTTCTCTTGAATATTTGTATAATACAAATTTGTAATAAATAATTATATAAATGAATAATAATTGCAAATTTTTTTAGCTAATATATCACCTTATTTTCTCTCTAGCTGTATGCACAACACAATGTGCAAATGGAGGAAGTTGCATAGCCCCTGATAAATGCTCTTGTCTTACTGGCTTCAGTGGAACTTTCTGTGAGACAGCAGGTAGGTAGTGTTCAATGTTTAAAATTCACATTGTCTCATAGCATAGTGCAAAACCATTCCCACTGCGCCAAACCAATCCACAACTTTATATACACTTTCACTCCAGATCAAGGCTTCATCCTCCACACACGAATTTAAAACTAATCTTAAAACCTTCTTATTTGAAACTTACTTTACATAATTTTCAAACTTTTTACACTTACCTTACTTGGGTCAGTGTCGCTGCCTCGGTGGTGCATGGTAGCGGAGCCTGAGGCACAGGCCAAAGGTGGAAACTATTGGAGCCCAGCATATCACCTTGTGTAGAGTATCTGTGAATACATGGCTACATTGGGCCCGTTCGAGCAAAAAACACCAACCGTATTCCATTTATTTCACCGGGTAATCACGCTGAGCACTCAGTGGGTGGTCGACCGTTTGAGCAAGTTTTAGCTCACGGTAAATATGTTTAACGAAACTACTCCGGAAGTAAATTTCAACTTATCCCATGTTGGTCAACAACCCATTCTTTGTTTACTTGCTACTGCTGCTATAACCGGCCCACATTGTACACACAGCGCGGCACGGTGGAGCGATAATGTAGCTCAATATTTAACTTATAATGGCTGCTTTAAAATCTGTACGTAGGCTAGTTTATTCAAGTTTATTTCTCCGAATAATGGTAAATCTACAAATCGATTGTGTAGCTATGCTGATAAAATTTAGATTTCGTCGTGCATGTGTGAGGAAGCAAAGGAGAGCTGTAACCACGCCTTGGCCTTAACATATTGAATTTCGCGCTGGGCTGTGGACAAAACTTTTGGAAAAACAATTAAGGTTGATTTATCATTGCCTCCGGCTCCATGGTCATTCCATACACGGTATTCTGCCCAGCAATTTGGTGGTCAAAATTGTCACGGATAATCCTGATGGTAAGGTAATTAGACTAGTGTCCGAGCGGTTTTAGAAAGTCTGTACCGGTAAATCGCACAGATATTTTTTCGCTCGAACGTGCCCATAGAGAGAGTGACGCTGACCCAAGTACGGCTCATGTAATTTAATTGTTTCTGGTTCTTAAACTTCATTGTTCTTTTGTCTGTCACATTTTTGAGTTCTTGTGGAGGGGCGCCATGAGCATTTTCTTTAGACAGATACCGGCGCTTTAAAAGTTTTCATTATTATTATACTATATAATTACGTAACATCATTAAAATTAAAGACTGATACTTGACCTATGCTTTCATTTCAGATGTACAACACTGCAGTAACCCAGCATCACCTTCATATGGATCAGTGGTGTGTGATTTTAATGGCGCAACTGTTAAGTGTACTGCTGAATGTCTTTCTGGGTATAGACCGCCAGACATATCTCAATATGTGTGTGACAAGTCAACGGGAAGTTGGAATCCCACGTTGCCAATACCAGACTGTCAGGGTACAATCTGTTTATAATGTTTGCTTGTTGTAGTTATTTGCACATTAAGACTTTTCTCAGTGGAATGTGTTAAATAAGAGTGGCATTATTATATATATTATTTTTAGTTGACAAACTGATGCTACAGCACAATGCACTGTGCAAGAATTGTTATAATTTACACTACCCTTACCAGTGGTGGATCAAGGAATTCAATATAGAGGGGAAAGAAAGAGACTTTTACACATCCTTCTCCTCTCTTTTTTTTCATTTCTTTTTTTATTTTCAAAGGTTTTAGGAGGGGAGTGAGCAAAAGCTGGCTAGGGCCCCCCACCCTTGAATCCACCTTTGGTTACCAGACTTTTTATCTGCAATTCAAATTCAAATTTAATTTCAAGAAAAATATAACAAAAACATGATGCTGCCTTCCAAGGATTGCCAAAAAAGTTAAAAAACTATCAAGTGGCTCTCCTGACAGCATCTGCAATAACTATTATTATTGTCACATTCTTGTCTACTTCCATTTCTCTTCTAGAAATCATTACAGAAGAAGTTATTAATGTTCCTCCAGTGGTAATTTTTGAGAGTGGTAGGTTTTTTCCCATTAATTATTTATTGAGGATAATATTTGCAATGTACAACATTCAATAACCTTCAAATGAAATACATATTTTTTTTAAATTATCTTGACTTTTTACACACACTGGATATTATTTTATCTATACCTCATAAATATTAATTAGGTAATAATACTGCTTCGGTCAATTTCACTTGGTATGTGGTGCGGTAGTTTTGACTACCACACGCCCACCTATGTGAAACATATGCAAATGTAATTTTACCCTCACAGATCGAAATGGTTAATGTAAACAGATGGTTTGCTGTTTTTAAATCTATGATAGTAAAACATGGTATTATTTCAGTAAGTGAATTCTACTTACCTTGTTTGTTGGATGATTGGCACCACCTCCTTGCATGAAGCAGATGATGATAGATGATCAGATGATAGATCATCAGACACTTTGGGATGTAGATTTCACTACTTCACGTTAAACATAATTTTCATTAGAGAACAACACAATTGGTCCACTGTGAATCTATTTGGTAAATAACAAATTCTCGAAAGCTCCAATGAGGGAAGTATAATAGAGGCAGCAGAGTATATTGGCCCTAACTACCGCCCATACAAAAAAGATCTATTAATCAACCAATCTACCAGCGTTTAACGCCTTGGGTATGCATCTTTCAGGCGAGGCTTTTTGTAGACAATATTAAATATCCTCCATGAAATACTGTACACAGTGGTATAAATTATTACAGTATATTGGGTTTTTTGGCACGGGATCATAATTGCTATTAATTATTGCTGCTAACAGGACAGGTATAAAGATCACGGTCGGCTATTTTTATAATTAAATTAACATTCTAATACCCGATTCACACGTGAAGTTAAATTTAACAAATTGTAACCGAGCGATCTCCTGAGTTATTCCTACCGAGATAAAAAGCATTCACACGCGTCTGTAAGGTAATGCCAAGGTCGGGTAAAATTTATTCAGTGTTTATTAAATGAACCATTTTTTCCCCTACTGCGATATAGGTCTAGCCTAGACCTAGTTGAGAACCCTCACCTCACAGTAAACATTCGAAGCAAAACTTGGTATGTGGTGCGGTAGTTTTGACTACCGCACGCCCTTAACATCTGCTGTACTACTAGGCCTACTGCTAAACTAGGCATAGCTTCCAATGTTTCTGTCGACTCTTGATAATACTAGTAATAGTACTAACACCATCCCGACGTTCATTTTATGTATATCTTCTTCTTCTACCATTACTAATTAACATCAATAACAAGGGAAATTCATTCATCATTTAGAAAAACTAGGCCTATCTATTTCTAGTGGATCAGAATCGTCTGCAGAAGGAAGAAAATTCAAAGAACCCCGTGAAACAGTAGATTGTTGTTGTGTTGAAATCCCTGCGCATGCGCAGATCCATCCATGCTAGTTATCACTTTACTGTAATATAAAAGTAAACAGAGAAAACAAATCATCAAAATTCTCATTAAAACATTAGGTAATATGATTCATGAGACTAACCATATGAATCGTATCTCACATTCACCACAACACAAACACAATATATTGAACATTTTGAGATAGAAAAATATGTTTGGCGTTAAATTTGATATGACATGATTAATTTATAACGAAGAATATTTAATCTTATTTTATCGATCAATAGATGGCCACTGTACCACATGGGGTCAGGATCACTACAGAACATTTGATGGTAAAATGAAATACTG